TTTTATCAGCGGGTGGGTGAAGCAGGTATTAATTGGGCTGAGGCAGGAGGTGGGTTCATCAGCGCAGTGGGGAGGACAGACATCAGGGGGCGCTCTCACTGTGGAGTGACAAATTATCTAACAGAAGTTGTGACTGTGCATTTAGATTTTTATGTAAAACCTCTTATACAGAATTAAAGTTTGCTACCTGCTTTTCCTCATAGAGATGTTATTGCTTTACCTGGAATGTCTTTTCAACATGTAAATTCTACATAGAAATGCTGCACTCTTTCTAGGAAGCCACTCTAGTAAATTCTTGCCATGAGAAGAGACACTATGCCCTGACTGCTAATAACTAATTCTATGTATTTACACTTCATTATTTATTTATTATAGATCTTATTGATTTGCCCAGGTCTAATTGTACAATAACCTTTACTGCTAATTGCTAGTGTTAATTGCGACCAGTGTACTTCTCACTTTTCATCTGCTGCTTCCATTAGAGCATGTGATCTAAAGGGATACAAAGTTGTGTATTTTTCCATGACTTAAAGATTAAAGGTTATGTACTTTTCTGGGGGATGGGCCATCTCCTGCTTGTCTCCATGAATGTTATTGGTTTGTCTGGAACGTTGCATGGCATTTAATTTCTTTATCCTCATGGAGACAAGCACGTAATGTCTGTAAGCTAAGATAGAGCTCAGATCTGTGGAAAGGCAAGCTCACTCACAGTAAGAATACATGTTTTTGAAGGTACTTTTAAACAGTAACAGTAGCATTCCAGACAAAGACATAACATTCCCATGCAGACTAGCAGGTAGTGGACCCTCTCGCCAGAAAAGGTAGATAAGGCACCTTAAAAAGCAATGGCTCAACTCTTCAGACTCACGTACAATTTGTCAGAGCAGGTGAGTAAGGATACTGCCATATTTCCAAAAAAGAATGTATCTATTTCAGCTACAAAAAAACATTTCTTTGGATATTGCTCAGTAAAAAAGACTAAAAACATCTGTCAGAATGTGATGAGCTATCGATTATATGTCCACTTGACTCTTTCAGACTGGGCTCGCATGGGCGTCATCACATCGGAGGCGTTTGATGCAATTTATATCAAGGTCTTCCGGTCAGGGAGGAGGTCAAATGGATTAAAACATCAACAGTGGACTTCATGACGCTTGATGAACAGCTGACGCAACACTGTGAGTCATTTCTTTTTACATTATCAATATCCTTGCTGTGCTATTGCTTCATATACTGTATATGCGTCTGAGTGGGAGGGTGGTCAACTCTCCTGGCTCTTAGCAAAGACGTAACTTGGGTCCTGACGCACCGTTTTCTAAATAGAGTTTGCTTGTCCTTAATTTTTGCTGTTAGTTCACAGAGATCAAGGTGAATCTGAAAGGAATCCAGTGAATCCAGTCCCCCAAAACACTGGCTGAAAGAAAAATGCAGTATTACAAATTCAATACACAAAATTCAAGATCAGTGCCCTTTTCTGCACATTTTAATCTACAAGACACTGTAAAATGTTTTTGGCATATTCCCTTTATGGAAGCTGTCTAGACATTTATGGCTGCTTCTGGGTACAGTGTTGACAGCCAGCCACTTCAACAACTATTAGTATCAATATGTATATAATAAAAGTAGACCTTTGGTATAAAATTCTGCACTCACTTAGGTTAGCCAACTCAAGAAAGTAACACAAACTTTGAGCTATTTTAAAATGTCAGTGTTTTATTTTTTTGATATAAAGGTTTTCTCTTGTCAATTTTCAGTATGTTGTACCTGTGGTAATATTTGTTTACCTTGTGTTGTTTACCTCAGACTTTTCCAAACATGGTACCTTTCCAAATGTAATATCAGAGTCAAATGTATATACTTTTATTTAATCCTATTTGCTATTCAAAGCGAAACAGACCCCAATGCAATGTGTCAAGTGTGTGTGTGTGTGTGGGAAAGCTTGTTTTCTACCAAGGAACAAATATTTTTATTCATTTCAGTCATTATTGAATTGTTGTTGCTTAGCCTGGAATGCTCCACAGTATGGCATTATACCTGTGAGTGTGGTCACATACTTGGGGTTGTGTTTAGTTGAATTTACACTAGTTTAACACCCTGAATTATTCTCTCAAACAAACAAAAAGTCTGTTCCACCTTGTGATGTGGTAATGCAGGAAGTGCTCTACTGTGTTTCCATACAGCTTCACTAGAATTATTTGGATGAATTTCATTCATGGAATTGCCAGTCTCTACTGAACTAAAGGTAAAAGGTAGTTGTTAACTTGAAAATTACCACTTCATGACATCACAAGGTGGAACAGAGCATTTTGAGCTTGGGATATGTAGACAGATTGAAAATAAATCATTACTTAAGATGTGTGAAACAAAACACACTCCAGGTATGTTTTTTAGGAGATAACATTTTTATAACATGGCTGAAAGCTCAGTTTAGCATTTTATAGGACAGCATATCCGTAGAAAAAAGCAGATGGTTTCTGCATCGGAAAAGTTACACATCACTTTTAAATGAGATTTTGAAATTTTCTTTTCAAGAAACATTACTCTTTACTTCCACCAACCCTAACTTATGAAAAGACCTATCTAAAAAAAAAATCTATATATATCTATATATATCTATATCTATCTATCTATCTATCTATATATGTGTGTGTGTGTGTATATATATATATATATATTATATATATATATATATATATATATATATATATATATATATATATATATATATATATATATATATATATATATATACACATACATATATATATATATATTTAAAAAGTAAGACTAAACCATCGCCAAGCCATGTCTAATAAGGTGCAAGGAATGTAGGTCACTTTAAAAACATACACTGAAAGAACACCATCATTTAGATATAATTACTGTATTACTGCATATCAGTCCCATATAGTGATCATTATTTGAGTTTCTGTATAAACTACATATCTTGGTTAAAAATAGTGCAGTAATCATCTACTGTCAGTACTGTAGATAGTCCCAACACAAGCTGCCTGTGTTATGATCTTATCTTAGATTAGGACATGCGCTTCACGCTCTCTTCCACAACATCAAGTATGGCCACGGGGCATGGCTGGTGATGTAAGCTCTTATGCAATGTCACTGGTCCTTAGCATTACAATTATAATATTAGACTGTTCCAATGTGGCTCTTATTGCATACACTCCATCCTATTACACCAATTTTATTGCAGTTTCTTTGACTAAAATGAAACATATTATTCATTGGGTGGTTTAAAATGTCCTCAACAGTTGGCTTTTAGAAATGCACTCTCATGAGCAAGAAAGTATTGGAAATAGAAGTGCATTCATGGTTTGGTGAGAGTAAATGTAGTGGAAAATATAAGCTACGAAAAGGTTGATTTGAAAAGGGAAAAAAAAATCTTACTAGATCAAAAACTGCAAAAAGAATGAGAATGGAAATGGAAGAAAACAGGGAATTATTTTCAGTTAGGTGAAGGCTGTTTACACAACCTAGAAATACTATAAATGGTATAAGTTTTAATTTTAAATTGCCTCAGACAATCTGTCAACACATAGGATGCAATTTGGACAATGTTAAGCTGTTTGTGGACTATTTCAGAATGATAATTTAACTTCTTTCCAACTTTTAATTTCCTGATTTATCTGACATCTTTGCACTGAGGCCATATGTGCAATTCTGCTAAAGAGTTATTTGTCATTGCCCTACGCTAAGTGCAAAACAGAACAAGAAGATGAAGGAAGGAAAATAAAATGATAATTATAGAGATTCATATTATAGAGTTTCATAGAGCATCTGATTGTATAGATAAGTTTACTAAGCCGTAGATGCACGTTTACTGGAGTGTACTTCATATTATGCATGAATGTTTTGTTGATATCAGTTATGTGTATTGAATGTTCTAATCAACACAATGGAACAACTGTCTGATACAATACTAATTATTCTCAATTATTTTAAATCTGCCTATCTTGTATGAATAGGCCCTTTATAGACATACATAGACAGGCATATTTTTGCTTGTTAACCTTTTGTTCTTCATATACTCTCTTCATACCCTTGGCACATACTTTTTACACTACACCATGACCACAAAGGGACAAAACAAGCCAGAAAACCCTCTACTCAACCTAGACTCCGCAAACCACTGGCTTGGTTGCCTGGCGCACAGTTAGCGCAGTAAACAAGGATGAATGACAGCCGTACTTTTGTGAACTGGGCCTTTAGTGCCGCCTTTATTATTGTTTTCCCGTGATATTTTTCTTCATTCTTCCTTATATCTTTGATTTAGAGCGCTGGGCCAATCGCAGCGGCGGGGGCGTGGCTTATTGGCTGCTGCTGCTTTTTTCAGCACCGCGGGCAGCTCCCGTCTCAGCGTCTCCGTGGCCGTGGCTGGACTACGGGGAAAGCGGCGCTCCTTTACAACCCTGGAAGATATAAAAGATACGATTCTACTCTGTTTCATCCAATTGTTCCCTTGTTTTCCGTGATTCGTCGGTTGACTTTCGCGCTCTTCTCCGTGGACTCCTTCCCCTGTGCGTTTAACTGCATTGCCTCTGCGTCTCCCCCGCCTTCTCCCCTTTTCCTGTTAATGCTGTGAAAGTGCTTTTTGGGAAGAGGCGATGGATTGACCCGTTACTGGAACTTCTTCCTTTCTCCCGTCATAACACCTCTGCTCCTGCTTTGTGCTATGTTACCCGGCAGGGCTCTGGTACTTCAGGGTTCAAGATGAAGTTGAGTTTTACTACCCGCCTGTGCGTGCTGATATGAGATACCCGCCTCTGCAACACCGGCCGTCACCCTAACGCTGAAAAAACATTTTTGTGGACTGCTGCCAAGAAAGAGAAGATGAGGAGCCTCGCTGACTTTTTAAATTGCACCTAAGTCATTTATTCCGTTATCCCGTTACGGCTACTGCTGTTGTTACTACTTGCGATTGAATCTCTTTGTAGATCGTAATATTTCACAGTTCGTATAATCTGTTGTAAATCTACTTGACAATGAAGAAGTTTCGGAAGGTGTTGGACGGTCTGACCACGTCCTCCCCCGCGAGCGGTGGTGGGACGATGGGGTCTCCGTCCTGTGGCAGCGCGGCAGGGACCCCCACCGCGGCGCCCACCCCAAAGGAGATCGACGTGCAGGAGACGCTAGTATCGGAAAACTTTCAGCTATGTAAGGTGAGTACCCCGTGTGGCAGATTAAACCCACTTTAAACCAGCTAATTTGATTCGACAATTCAATATAAAACACCTGCACCGGGGTCAAACAGGTGCAAAGGCGTCAATATGCCGATTAAAGAGCTCGCTTTGAAGTCAGCGTGTGATCCTGTGTGGTGTTTTGGGTCAAAAGTTCACTGTTCCTTTAAAAGCGACAACAACAAAGAGATACAAAGTGTTCAAATTAGGCTTGTGGCTCGATAGCGTTAGTCACTGTTTACTGACTAAAATCCGTTCCACCCGTGGACATGCGCGCTGCCAAAGTGCTGTAGCAGTCCCCATCCGCGCACAGTTCTCCAAGTGTGTGGCTCTACATGCAGCAGGCAGCCTACACACGCATGTGGCACAAACAGAGAGCGGAGTCAATGAATAGCATCCTCGCGTTGCATCAGCAGCAGAGCCAACAACGCGCGAATGGTCTTGGCGTATAGAGGCGATGACATAACTGGTGTCCCTCCCTTAGCCCGCGGAAGAGAAGAGAAGAGAAGGGAAGAGAAGGGAGGGGGGGAAAAGGAGGGTGGGTGGGTAGATGGGGGGGAAAAAAGTGCACAGTAAACCAGCCAAAAGGGAGCCTGCAGTGTAGTGTCCTAGCCGCGTTTCGCTCAGGAGGAGGGAGGGGAGGAGAGGAGGGGTGCTGGGGGTATTTATAGCAGCTTCTACCGCCCATTGCAGACTTGTTGTTCAATGCATTTTGGAACTGGTTGCAGCAACTGATGATTATGGGAAGAGCGCAAGGAAATCCCAGTTTAAATGACACATCCAGGTGAAGAAATTTGCAGTCTTTGTTATTAGATTGAGTCAAAATAGAGGTGTTTTTTCTTCTTTTTTGGAGGGGGGAGAGGGTTTGATTCAGAGGATGCTGCAGTACAGAGGAAAGAGGAAAGGCAGGCTAAGCAGAGACAGACGGGGAGGAGAAAAATACTAGAAAAAAATGATCAGAGCGTTGGTTGGCCTAGTCCCATGTACTGAGCCTGTTCATGTCTATCAAGCAGAAGTCACACAGTTTATATATGCACTGGAACATACAACATTTTCTGCACTGATCATTATAAACCCCTTTGTTCATAGCCAGTGCTGCAGTGGATGTAGGCATTGATTCTACCTATTCAATTGTTCTCAAAAGTTTTTCAGAGAATCTACATTTCTTTCAGTTACCTATGTGTGGCTGCCAAAAATCATAACTAAACTCAATCTTAACACAACGTCCAATTTGATTTTAAGCATGACTAAACCATTATTAACAGGGCCTATATTACACTATTTTCGGTGATGTCATGAGAGAGGGAGTGTGCCACTGTGTTTTTAAACCCCATACACCTCCACTAGAATCATTGGTATACTGTAATAATAATCAGTCCTGGAACAACCTCTATTGAACAAAAGGTAAAAGGTAGCTGTTGACTTGAAAACTACTGGTTCATGACATCACAAGGTGAAACACAGCATTTTGAGCTTTGGAGATGTTCACCAACTAATAATAAAGGATTACTCAAATGTGCGAATGAAACAAAACACAACTTCTGGGATGTTTTTGAGGAGGTAACATCATTCTAACATGGCTAAAAACTCACAAGAGTCAAATCTGTGTGTAATATAGGACCTTTAAAGACTAAGGCTCTTACAAGACTAAGCACTTTTTCTAAACCAGGACTGAAACAGGACTAAACTGTATGGAGAAGTGATAGTTGTTTTAGGTTTTTCATCAAGTTTTTAAGTACTTGAGTATAAGTGGCACAAGCCTGCACCATCGATTGTACATGTACCACACAGAGAACCACTCCACATATACACCACGATATTGAGCGCATTAGCCTACCTGTAATAAAGCCTCAAATATGCTGCTTATTGTGTTTGAAAGAGCACTGGCTCTACACTGTAACAATAGCAAAGGTTATTGGTTTCCCATGCTGAGCTTGAGCTGTGTGTGTCTATACAAGTACACACAACTGTATAGAGCGAAAAAACAAAAGGTTACACCACCCTCTGACCCTGTAAGGAACCAGTGAGCTGTGAACAAATAGAAAATGCACTGTTTCCTCTAAAGACTGAAGGAAAAATGAAAGGTTTATAAATTGCATGAAGCTGATTGAATGTAAGCAGTATTACAGTTTTCAGACTATACAGAGTCTCACGGAATACAAAGACCATAGATTCATTATTAGATTAAGTAATTAAATGGTTAAAGGAACAGTATGTAACTTTCTAGAGGTGTCATGTCACTTGCACAATTCCATAAAGTTAAAAACATACATCAGAACATTCTACGTGGAGCTAGATACATTTTATGCTATATTGTGGAATATTACAGACAAAGCAACAACATTTCCATGGAAACAAGCAAGAGAAGGCCCTCCTTTTGGTCAGGTCTGTGGAGATGCAAGTCCACTCAAAGAAAGGACTCATGTTTTTCAGTGTTTTTAGTGCTAAATTAAAATTAGAAAGCATGCACTTTTTTTTGCCCAAAAAAGATACACTGTGGCTTTAAAATTGAAAGTAGGCTTGCAAGAAGGCTATTTAGATAATCAACTGTTTGAAAGAAAGTTTGTGTACAATAATTAGTCAATGTTAAAATCAGTGTTTATGTTGCTAAGCTGTTTATGTTGATTTTGGGTTAAGAGAATTAGAACACAGACTTTGTTTGAACGCTCCATACAGAATGCTTCCAGAAACTACAACACATGTGTTTGTGTATCTCTATTAAATTGGTTGTTGCTTAGTTTACTTTGTGGTTCATGGTTTAATCCCAGCTCTCATGAGTACATACAACCAGTGTATCCTTAAGCAAGACATTTTAGTTGTTGAAAGGGCTGTAATGTAATGAGTAATGCATCTACTGTAAAAGTGTCTGGAAATACGTAACTCCTGCCTCCAAATTTCCACTCATTGCCATTATTAGATCTTTCTTTTTACATGTGGAGAAACACTTTATACCTTCACATAATCCATTTCAGTCCCTAGAAGCAATTTCATTCAGACAGAAATATCACTTTTCAAGGGTTACAGTTATCGAGCGAGTGAAGCGTGTGTGGGAAGATTTGGCATCTGTGCTTCAAACTTAGTCATGATCTGTTTCCTAAGTATGCAGCGTAGGACGTTGAAATGCACTCTTTCTAAACTTGTGCATTTTATTTAGGTTCAGAATTTATTTAAGGAAATGCATTCGCCACTGTAATGGAATGAGCTTTTAGATAGCATTGCAAACAGTTCAAATAAGAGATACTCGTCGTACCCAGGTGCACAAGAGCCCCATTGAATCTATTGGCTGGTTTCTATTTAAAGCAAAATGAGGTGATTACGGAGAGAAAACTCGTATAGTAAGACACAGGCTGGAGGAGGAGAAGGAGATAATGCTACTGAAAAGGGAAGGTTAAGGCGGGGGGTTTGCAGCATTGGAGGCCATCGCTCAATGACAACACATAATGAACCATGTGGAGGTCTGGTTTTAAGTAGTGTAATATACACTGACATGTCATCTATTATACACATATCTCTAATAATGTTATTTTCTCCAGCTGTGGTGTAATGTGAGGACAATGAGTGGCATTATTTAAGACACTGTTCAAACATAGGAGTGGGTAGCATTACAATTTTCTCATAATGTACCTATGGAGTAATGCGTCTGAGAGTGTATACTTCACTGTGATTGGTTAAAGGTGTCTATAACTCACTCAGAGCATGACAAAAACTGAGTGATTGACAGAGTGGATGGTATGTGTGTGTTCAAGATAGAATTAAATAGAAAAGTCCTGAATTAAGATCCAAATTTTAAGATATTCTTTTGTTGTTAAAGATCCAATACTACACAAAATAGATTATTTTGATATTTAAGCCATATTGTTAACTCATCAAAAACATACCTGGCATTGTGTTTTGTTTCAGTCACACAATAATAATCCATTATTTTTATTAGTCTGTCCACATCTTCAAAGCTCAAAATGCTCTGTTCCACTTTGTGATGTCGTGTAGCGGTAGTTTACAAGTTAACAGCTACCTTTTACCTTTAGTTCTGTAGAGATTGGTAATTCTAGGGCTGAAATGATCAAAATGTTTCTATTGAAGGTGGAGCATTTCCTGTGTTACTACATCATGACATCATAAGGTGAAACAGAGTGTTTCAGAGAGAAGAAAAGCCTAAATATGGAGGGTTTGCTTGTTAAACATGTGTGAATGAAACAGCACACAACTCCAGGTCTATTTTTGATGAGGAAACAGCATTATAACATACACCAGAAAATAGCATAATATGAACCCTTAGAATAGAAATGTTCTGAATTAAGATCCAGATCTTACGGTATTGTTTTGTTGTCAATTGCAGTGGGTAGTGGGAAGCTGTTCTGCTTCTATGGGCCTTAGTCGTGCCAAAGACATAAAAAGGCCTTCATATTTCGGAAAAGTTGCATTGTTGTGCTCTTAGGCAAGACACCTCTCCCATCTTATGTCATATGAAAGTGGTGTGTGAATGCGTGAGGTTGATGGTGCAGATTGGCAGCCCCACTTCCATCACACTACCCCAGAGCAACTGTGGCTACAATAGAAACTTACCACCATCAAATATGGAGTGAATGAATTATGACAGTACAATTAATATTATTATATTCATTCACTTTCACAATAATCACACCGCGATACCCACTGAGACCATATTCCTGTAACAATAAACAAACCCCACAACATTTTGGATGACTGGCAGGATATAATTATTTAATTTGACTTTATTCTCTCAATGTTCTTTACATGGTGCCTATAAACTAGGATGGCATTTAGTTGTTTAATCAATTAATCAGTCAATGGAGTCTTAATTAGCCAACATTTTTATTAGTCAACTCATTATTTTAGTGAGATTATAAGGATTTATATGGACCAGAGCAAAATTTTGGATTGGGCTTGGGAGTGGATTGTGAGTAGTTTTCTGTATACATATTTGTAATTGCATCAACTTTTGTGATCTTGTTAGTAAAGTT